CGAACAGGTTAAAGGAATAAATAAATAAAATAAAACATTTAATGGTGAATTTTTTATTGGTCTACAAATAGTTAAGCGTGATATATACGTGTCCACAAATATCGTATATCACATAATAATTTCCGATTAAAATTATTAATATGACTAGTAAATTAGACTTCTTAAAATGTTCGTAACAAGTTAAAGTTTATAATAACAAAGTACTTTTTTTACTACTACAAAAAAAAAAAGGAATCGAAGCAGCTATATTAGTACACAATTCTAAATAGGCATTCTGAAATCTTTAAACAGTAAGCTAAAACTAATTGAAGTAACGATATCGCAACAGAAATTTCAATACCTCTCCGTCGAAATAACTGGGACAGAAAAGTCTCCTATGCGCAGTAAAAACTGTAATGATCTAATTGTGTTCTTAATATAGCCACATTGCTAAACAGTCACTTGTCTGCAATAGATATGCTTATGCCAAATATGTACTCCCAACTATAGCTTATTTTTTTTGGTTTTCAAAAATCACAAACAATCTGATCACTATTGATTTATTATTTCTAATTGTGGCCTATATATAGCCACATTGTAAAACAGTTACTTGTCAGGGATGCATATGTCTAACCTAAATGTGTAGTTCCAGCTGCAGATTTACTCTTTTGGATTCATGCCTAAAAGCACATATAATTTTAAGCACAATTGATTTATGGTCTAGATGTAGCTACATTGCTAAGCAACTACTTGTAAGGCATAGATATGTATGTCTATCCAAATCTGTACTTTTAATAGCAGCTCTACTTTTCTGTGTTTATGTCTAAAAGCACACACAATTTTGGTCACTATTTGTTTACAGTTTCTAATTGTGGTCTAGATGTAGGCACATTGCTAAACATTGTGTGGCATGTATATGTCTATCCTAAATGCAAACTTCCAGTTGCAGCACTATTCTTCTGTGTTCACGTCCAAAAACACACACAATTTTAATCACTATTGATTTACAGTCCCTAATTGTGGTCTAGATGTAGGCTCAACCGCTATTTGTCAGGCATATATATGTCTATCCCAAATGTGTACTTTTAGCCGCAGTTCTACTCTTCTGTGTTTATGACCAAAGGCAAAAACCATTTTAATCACTATTGATTTACAGTTCCGCCCCTTAGTTGTGGCAAACGATTTTTCTCTAAGCCCACATTATCTTTAATATTTCCAACTATCTATCCTTTTTTATATTTCTTTTCACACCCTTTCAATTCAATTGTCCAGATTTATTGATCCTTATGTGTACATTCTTGTGTTAAATAGCAAGAATATCTGCTAGTTTATCTGTCATATTTATAACTGTCTTTCAAACTAACTTTCGTCTGTTCATCCTTCTGGATAAAGGCGAGATAGTCTCTTGCGCAGCAATGAATTATGAGGCAGGATTTATTAACTATAGAAACTTTCATGGTTTTAAAAATGTTGCTTTGCAAAAATACATATATATATTAGTTTATACCCTTTATTGATATAAATTTAGTACATATATTTAGTATATATGTTGTCATCTCAAAGTATTCAAAACTTTTGGAATTTCTTCTTCATTTTAGTGTTACTCGAAAGCTTCAAAACATTGAAACGAATAGTCTTCGACAATGGACGACACTCACCAATTATAGCTATATCACCAATTTTAACATCTTTCCTATGGAAAAGAGATAAAAAGTATTTATTAGTTGCAAATTTTCTATATATATATATATATATAGATGTTTTTATATATGTAAACTTACGAGAAACATGGTGAGATGTGAGCGCTAATATTGCGATGACGCTTCTCAAAGCGATTGTATTTGCGCACATAATGCAAATACTCCCGACGCACGACAATGGTCTTCTGCATTTTGGTTTTTACGACAGTACCAGTCAAGATGCGTCCACGAATCCTGATGTTCCCGGTGAATGGGCACTTTTTGTCAACATAGGTACCGTGAATCGCCTATTAAAAAATGTTATTAGATAAATATTAATATCAATTTTATACTGTAACGAACCTCATTTGGGGTTTTAAAACCCAAGCCAATACTTCGAATGCGACGAATACTGCGTTTTTTGACTTTAGATTTACCCAATTTACTGACCACAGTACGGTCTTGTTTAAGATATGAACGTTCATTCTAGAAAAAATATGAAATAATTTTAGTTTAAATCTACCTTACTAACGTTAGGTAATACAAATAATATATAAAGAGTTCCTTTAATATCCGAATACCCAGATTCCAAATTAAAATTATCAAATTGCGCAGATTACCTGGACATCGGCCATGTTGATCAAGCTCGTGAAACGAAGTGAACGATTTAAAAGCACGCCGAAGGCAAGTCAATTTGTTGTAAAAAAAATTGAAGGAACAGTGGAGTAAAACACAGGATATCTGTGAAACAAAGGCCAAAAAATCTAAAATGGGGCTTTACACTATATTATGATGGAAGCGAAAGTAAGATGATAATACTTTCAATTGGACAACTTTAAAATTTTAATATTATTTCTAATAAGTTGTGAGGTCATTGGGTAACAGTATTTTTAGACTCTATAAGAGGGTTTACATGAAAAAACCATTTGTACTTAAAAGTTTAAGTGGTTATACTTAACTTTCAAACTAAGCAAACAGTTGAACATATAAAATGTAAAATTAAAAGCTAATTGTTACAGCTTTTACATAAAAAAGTATAAAAGAGGGAATATCAAGTTCGTCAGGATTTTCTATAGCAATTCTGGAAACGTCGCATTTATAAATATATATTTATATATATGGTATATATTTAACCACCGACTTGAGTTCATTTAATCCTGTCCGTTCGTCTGTTTCTTTTTAAACTAGTTCAGTAGTTTTAAAGCCATTGGAATCAAACTTTGTTCACATTCTTTTCTCTAGTGGTCCTTGATCATTTGACGGATTGGTTGAAATCGGACCACTTCGTTTCATAGCTGTCATATAAACTGAAAAATCGTAAATCAGTTTTCTGCGTTTCTATTTACGATATTAAAATAAAATTTGACATAGAATTAACTTATATAATACAATACATATATTGTAATATTGTATATAGATATTTTATATATTTTTATATACAAACTTATATACAAACGAATAAATAAAACCTTATTTATATTAGTTTATATTTTGATATAGGTGTCATATATAATACTGATTTAGTCGTAATTTTTTTCGTTTTTACCAAAACTTGACATTTGGTATATACTTTCGAAAACTCAAATATTCTGCACCAAGTTTCATTTGTATATTTCTGTTCTTCTATATTTTACCTATAGTAAGTTTGTTTCTGTACGCACTTGTAGTAAAATTCATATAAAAAGTTACTAAAATTTTACTATTTTCTATTCCCGTACCCAAAATCAAGTAAGGTGAGAGAGCTTGTAATAGCGAATTGCCATTTCGTAATGCATTAAATTTACTTGAACTTTACTTAAAAAATTTATTTTAATTAAATTAAAATAAAGTTAAAAAATGAATGATTCTATGTTAAATCTTTTCCGAGTTAGTGCATCTGGGCACTTTTACTCTTTGATAGCTAGGAGGTTTCTGCAAAGTCTATTGACTAATTTGTGTATCCCTCTTAAGTTTCTTGATTATTCAATGACTGATATATGATCTCTGACTTTACTGTTGTGCAAATTATGCTCTCATTCATCACATCAAGAAAAAAAAAACTGTGAAGTACCAAATATAGTGTGCTGTTCGGTATTTTTTATAAAAAAGACTACACGAACAGTACACTAAATAAAATTAAGATAATGTTTATCACTAAATTTAAAATTATTATTTTGATTATAAAAATAAAATACAAAATAAAATATTAATATATAGAATATATTAAAAATATTAAACAAACATTGCATTTTTTAACAAAAAGTGATCAATAGTCGGATAAAAATATATATAAAAATCATTATTAAAATACATTATGTTTTAAATGAAATGTATAAATGATGGCTACAAAAGTTCGCTATCTTCGTGAAAAAATCGTTATAAAATTCGTTAACTAAAAGATTAAAATTTTTACGTGAAATGTCGGAAATAGTACACTATTTAAGTGTTTTGTTCATATCGGTTTTATTTCTAGTGGCTGCAGTAGAAGCAAACACTAAAAAGATTTTTCAATCATGAGTAGTGTACTGTTTATTTGGTTCTCCGGTTATAAAGGTCCTATTTAAAATGTTACATAGAATATTCAACATATTCTATAATAAAAATAAATAATAATTATATATAAAAAATAAATAAGTAATATTTCACATACTATGAAATATACATAAAACAAATCCATTATCATAATTAAGATTAAAATAATAAAATATACGTATAAAATTAAAATATCATTATTTCTTTAGTTGGTTGGAATGAAAACATGATATACTAGATTTTTATTTAACTGCTTTGTTTAGAGTGAATTAACGATTGTGATTTTATTTTTAACTTTACAGATTTTTACTAGAAAAGTGTGGGAACAGAAATAATATTACAAATAATACGAAAAGCGGATATTACACACGAAATTTTTTTGTCAAAATTTTTTGACAAATGCGAAATTCGTGCCAAATTTTGATGTGTATTACACAATATTTGAAGGTTTGATAAAAAAGTTTAATGGAATTCAAAAAAATTTTGATTTTTCCTCAGTATTGCTCGTGTTTTTTTGTATACAATCGGTTTTTTGTCGACATACAAGCAAAAAATGCATGCAAGCGATGACAAAAAAGTTTGACACACAAATCTCATGTGTAATACGCATTTAAGGTTCTGTTTTTGTTTTGTTCTGTTAACATGTGTTTTCTGGACATAATCATAAAAATATGGTTCAGTTATTTCTAAAATAAAGTAACGATATTCTGATATCTTGCAATATAAAGTGTATCGAAGCTATAATTACTATTTTTGCTAGTTTTCTTTTTGTGTTTATTAAAATTTGCATCAATAGTTATGTAAAATGTTGGAACTATTTAAAAAGTATACTTAAGCCAATAAACAAACAATAAGTACGTGCTTATCTTGTTCACCTTTGCATGGATTCTTTATAAGAAATATAATTAAATCCTAAACGGCTATCGAGATAAACCTTTAAATGAGCTAAGTACTATGGAGCTAAGGACAGAATGCGTACATAAACGTTTGAATTCGCAGACAAGTATTACCAATTGTGATGCCATTGAAATTACAAAGCCAACGTAAGTTACTTATTGCTTTGAATTTATATCATTGCGTTAAACCCTTTAGTTTTCTAGATCAGGGCTATCTATCGTTTGTTGTTTCAGCCAGAGACGTAGAAAGTGAATGTTAGAATCTACTTCTCTTTTTAAATGCAAGTCTTGCTCAGTCTGCGTGTTGCAATGCGCCAATGTTAAATTATTGATGCAATCGTACAGTGTTCCGTAAGTTCTTTAGTAACTAAATGTATTGTATTGTTAATTCATAATACATATTGATATATGTATATCATATATCAATGTAGTCGTACTTTACACGATTAATTTTTCTCATTTTCATGCTTATAAAGTTTATATATCGGAGATTGTATTGATATGCTGGTCACTTTTGTCACTTATTTAAAGTTAATATAACCTTTAAGTTTAAATGATGTATTAATAAGATTTTTATATTCAAAAATTATGTAAAAAAAGCATTGTTATATCTTCTTTTATCTTCTTTCATCTTTTTCTTATTTTATTTTCTTTTAAGATATTTATTATCTTTGATATAATAGATTATTTTTGAAAAGTAACAGGAGTTGTTTTAAAAAACATAATTAAAGCTGCTATAAAAGCTGTTCTTTCAAATATACTCTTAAAAATGATACATAGATAATTTATCTGAAAAAGTTCCTTTATAAAATACTCTTAAAAATGATATGTAGATAATTTATCTTAAAAAGTTCCTTTATAAAATACTCTTAAAAAGGGTAAATAAAAAATGTTCCTATAAAACATATATTATTTGTGAACTTATAAACTTTCAAATGAAAGCTTTAAACTAACAAGATATTTAACTTATTATTCATTTTAACTATAACTTCAATTTTAGTAATAAGAGTAAATAAATGACAATAAATAAATTTACTTTTAAATAGGAGAGGTGAACAAAATTTAAGAGATGGCGAAACACTTATAAAATAAGAAAGTTTAGACAAAAAGCGTATTTACTTTCACAGCAAGTTGAGATTCTTCTTAATAAAGAAAGTTCTAGATAGGTGTCAAAGTGCTTTTAAAATTTATAGCAGAGATAACTTAAAAGTCGTACATAATAACTAGTATTAAAATGCGGAATATATAAAATACTTAGGATTATGATTGACTGATAAGAAACTATGATTAAAAATAAAGTAAAAATATTTTTAATAAAAAAAAAACAAATATTTATATATTAAACTAATATGAGTTGTTGAAATATAATAATTATGACTATTTAGAACTCTAGTGTCAATATTATTATACAAAATAATTATTGTGATAAGAATCACTGAAAGGAATATCAAATCTTCAAGCATAATAATATAACCGATGGTGACCAGACGGTACATCCGCTATATGACTAATGTGTTTAGAGGACATTTTTATGATATAGCTAAATTTTTATTTGTTTGAGAGAAGTTAACTTGCATAAAGCTATCTTTGAATCTCTAACTTGACTTCCTAACTTGTATTCAATTGTTGTATATAGTATTAATTGTATGTTTCAGATATTTTAGATGTTCTGAATCAGTTTCTAAGGCATGTTATCTAGATGAGCTAGCCAGCTAGCTAATGCATTGCGTAAAATAATTTATTTATTTTTTTCTTTTTTAAGATAAAGCATTAAGACAAACATGCTGTTATTATTCCGTCGTAATCAAAAAAATAAGTTGCATCTATTTCTTTAATTATATATTCATATAAAATGAATATCATAATCTTTTTCTAGTATCTACTTTCAAATGACATAGTCTTCTATGAAAGATTATGGCAGACTCGCGACCAGTCCACTATGCAACCAAATGTTTATTACATCTTGTTAGTTTATTAAATTTATATTCCGAGTTAGACAATACAGTCAGGAAGTAACTCACGGTTCTTGTTTGTGTTTGAGATGTCTTATACATTATAATGAGCGTTTGCGTGAGTCATACCCAAACTAGACTTAATAGGATAGAACTACTAGTCTTAATTTTGTTAACAATTAAAGATAATTAAATTTGATTTTAATGTCAATTAGACGGAAGTGGTTATTTTAGAATTTTTGTTGTTATAGTTCACCTCTTTTCGAAGCCTCTCCATCAATGTTAATGTTATTTGAAATCCATAGAGTGTACTATAGAGCTGCACTATATAAAAAAAGTAA